GTGTGTGTGGATCACGAGAGGAGAAATCAATAGGAGTAGTACCACAAAGTTAAAGAAAGACAAGACAAGAAACTCTAACATGAAGTGCACTCAACGAAACAGATACGACCGTGATATAGATTGATTGAAAGACTTATTGGAGTTCGTGTAGTACGAGTTTTTCCCACAAATTGAACTGATGTAATTAGAAGGGAGTTTGGCCCCATATCCATTAAGCTTATATTGCGTGTGAAATTGCTTCATTCATATGTGTAGTTCCAAAACTACAACTTCGGCTCAATTAGTCTTCTTCATGAACTCATGTTACTCATCAAATCACCTAGGTTGCTAAGCTATACTTAAGTTAAACGCATCGAATTAAATCACGGGTGTTGGGAGGAAGATAAAAACAGCTAGCTAATTGGAGGGATTTGATTAATTGTGGGGATATAATTTATACTAAGAGGGAGACATTATCCTTTGGGAAGTGTCAAAGTGACCTGCCTAAAATTGGATGTTGATTTGAAGATCACATCATCCGTGTTTTGTGTTTTTTTTATGAGAAAATGATTGATTGGGGTTGTATTATATGATGGCGGAGTTACATTATTAATCAGTTTACCTAACCTAGGTTTCAAAGTTGCATTATTTATTCATTCAACTTTAACAAGACTTCACCTTAAGTTAACGTCTTAATTATATGTACTTTTTCCAAGTAAACATTCAATGAATCGCTTGTGTTTAATTAAGTTAGTTTTGTTACCTTCAAATAAATCCAAAATGTGATAACTAATTCTTGGTTTGTCATTTCCCTCTCACAATTCTTATACGCATGCATGTAAAAGTAAAAGTAATAATGGAACTTTCATTTTAATTCCCCTTAGTTTAATTTTAATTTTAGTTTTATATGCATGTAAAAGTTTAATTTTAATTTGTACTTGTATGTATAGATAATAAGGGAATGCAACAAATTAATAGGGACAGATGTTGATAACTCTAGTTTTATCATGTTTTCCATTAAAAATTTACATAAATACATCAAATAATAGCAACTTACGTTTTAATTCTGGTAAATGAATTTGATGATATGCAGTGAATTTGTTTAATAAAATTCAGTGGATGATGAATTTGATGGATCAATTAGGGAAGTTGAATTTGGAAGAATTGTTTGTTCATATGTTGATGTAACCACTCCACTCTTAAGAAAACAGTAAAGTTTAGCAATGTCTAAGTTACTTCTCTGCTTTGTGTAAAATAGGCTACAAATGCACAATTTGAGCTTAAAACTGCTGTTGCGTGAGAAAGTGATAACAAGAAACTGTTCCGACAAACATATTCATCAGCAACTTGACAACCATGTAAGAAACTACATCATGATTACCACTATTTTCTCACAAGTAAGAAAAAATTAGAGATTTTACCAAATCCGGAAAGAAGCTGAAATGTAAATTAGAGATCTCTAATTGAGATTTGCACTAACGAAGTATCCTTTTTGGCAAAACACTCCCACTGTTACGCGATAGGAGTATGCATTTTAAATATGGCTCTTATTTCAGGACTAGTATGATTGTTTTGTACACATTTTTCTTTTTAAAATTATTTTAATTAATATTCTATTCGTCTCAAAAAATTAGTCTATTTTATTTTATTATTTTAATTCAAGAAAAATATTATTTTTACGTTATGGAGTCGGGAGGAGTATATTTATACATATGCAGACCCGTAACTTTGATATAATTCCCAACTAGCTTATTGAATAGAAGTTAGGTAAGATAAATCTATAAGACTAGCCTAATTTTAAAACATAAATAGACAATTGGTTTCTTCATATCCGAGCAAAATATTCCATTAATAGAAGCAACCATAAATTTTGGGAATTTAGGTTGGCCCCCCTTTGTGAAATGTTAGTATTCAAATTGGTCACTGCTGTTCTAAAAAGAAGTGTGCATTATAGGGATAGATACGAACCATACGTAGTATTCTTGAAAATTAATAACAAACTATCAAACCAATTAATTAACGACATGCCAAGTATCATTTCTCAAAGCTCAGGGAACTAATACAGTTAGGTCAATTTTGTGTAAGACTGAAAGCTTTTAGTGGTATCATTTACCTGATAATGAAATTTACTTAGAAAAGAAAATATTTATGCACTTTTGCTCCCTTCTATTGCATGTTTCTTTCTTAGATTATCTGCGACGGTTCTCCAATTCGGCTCAGCGAATCTAAATCATACTTCCCTGTCTAGAAATATGGAACTTATCGGCTCGAATACTGTTTTTGGGAGCCCATTTCTTGAAAATATATTGGGATAAGATACATTTGTGAATCGAAAGAATTTTACTTTTTAAAAATTAACTTTGAATCTTCATTAGTTAGGGTAATGATTTCAAACGGATGATGTTTGACCTAAAAGAAATGAGATTTTTCCATCGGGCTGCGAGAGTATAATCAAACAGTTTAGAAATTGCGGCACTCAATTGTTGATACCGCCGTAACGTTATGATGTCTTTTTCGCATGATTATGTTGAAATTAATGAGAGGTCAGATGCCCCGGCTTCTGTCTAGTTAATTGTGTATCATTTACTCAAAGGATATGATAACATGTTTGAAATCAAAAACATTTTTTAATACAACGTTTTTGTGACTCAAATCGTTGCTTTAACTAATCCAAATTCGAGTTGGGTAAACTTCTTTAAAAAGTAAGTTATTTGATATTTACTACATATTCTTGCCTGGGTTTGAATTCGGATTATAGTTGAACCGATACAATACATGTACCAAATGTTTGTTGGTTAAAATCCATAACTTTAACCTAAAATTCATCAACCCTAGTTGTGACAACTATTAGCACAGGTATAACATTTATTTTTTTTTTTCTGAAATGATTGTCTACTATTGATTTTTGTATTTATAATACATCTTACACTTCAAATAAAAACTTAAAACAACACGAATATTTCGAGAAGAGAAGAGAATATTTTAAGACATGAAAAAGAACTATAGGAACCAGGTCAAGAAAGTGGACCTTACAAATGAAAGTAAACTCCAAAAGGACCACAAAGCTAAAGCTAGTTTTTCTTAGACGTACGTATGAACTGGCAGTCATGTCAAAAGGACCACTATTAAAATGTAGAAGATGATGTTAAAACTTAAAAGAACAATCATCCCCCTCATGTACGTACGTCGTAAGAGACAACATCCTTCGACCCTTTTACTTTAAGCTGTATTTTCTATATTTCCGGACTAACCGACGTTTTAACCTTCCTCTTTGTTTTGAAACCAAGTTTCATCTTATTTGCATAACCAGCCGCCCTGATTTTGGCATAAATGTTTTATATTTTTTATTATTTTTATTTTCCGATTTCAGGATGTTTCCGGAGAAAATCCTTTTAAGACAGGAACTATTTCTTAAAGGGTTTTTCTTCTATCTTTTTTTTTTTTTTTTTTTCCCTTGTCAGGTGCAAATAGGAGGTTTATATAAACCAAACTAGAGTACTCCATGCCAGGGCACGATAGCTCCTACTCTGGAATTTGTTGCTTTCAGAAAAACCAATTTTCATTTTGAGAAGCATGACCAAGTGTAACTACCAAATTATGAGTTTTCCTAGCTGATCAACCTGGAAATCCAAATAATCGAAAGAGCTTTTTTTCTAGTTGGCCAACCATATTTGAGAAAACTATTTATAACTGGTCGATTGTCTATTTTGCCCTTAGTTATGAATAATTATGAAGCACGGGAACCTTAATTTTGTTATATCTGAATTCCGGCTTGCTGTTGATGAAATGTAGAAGATTCAAACGACACGGAGAAAGGGGAAGAAAAAAAAAAAGAAATCCCAACATAAATTCTTGCCAGAAAATGATGTGTTTACAAGCTCAGAAATCTCTGAATTAATGTAGTTTATCAAATTATTACTGTAGTACTTTAAAAATGATTAGCCACCCACCCAGCTGGCAGCAGTTGATTATTACAAATATTATTTTGATCCTTCATGTCGTACGTACTACTACTCCATATGATTTGTCTTAATTAATTAATTATAACTTCGGCTAGTAGTACTAAAAATTGATCAATTGTCTTTCCAACACATTTTGTTCAATAATGACGAATACCAGACGGATGTTGATAATAAATGTTTGGTATATACGTGGGGATAAGTTTGTGTAAAGTTGCCTCTTTAGTGTTTTGTCTAGTTTGTTGGGAGGCAGTGATGAAAAGCCAATCTCAACGTTTTAAATTAAAACTGAGTGGTGACATTGTGGGAGACAGGACTTGAACTCTCTTATGTGTTTCTACTCAGATATCTCTGCCAAGGAAAGACAAAACCTAAATTAATGTTGCACAATGTTATTATCGGTCTCTAATATCCTTCTACCTCGAAGCAATATTCATTTTGTTTCAGTCGGATCAATCAGTGAATTTAGTGAACTAATAATAGACTTTTATTCATCGTGATGTTTTGAAATTCACATTATCGTACGTAACGAAAGCGCCATCTAAAGACTACTGAATTTATGAGTTACGTAGTAACATTTATTCACCCTTATTATCTCCTTCACAAAAACCGATCATGGTATTTTTACGTAGAAATTAATCAACGGTTGTGAAGCATATGTACAAAATTAGATTAAACATTACAAGTTAAAGGTTACTAAAGCCAGAGTTAGGCAACCTTTCTTGTCTCCGCATACAAGCGGACCAAACCCCATATGCAATGAAAATGAAAATAAAATAAATAAACTATTTATTATTTACAAGTTTTTTCTTCCGAAAGAAATTTATATGAATCGAATCTAAATGAATTAAAATTGTGTATGATTTCAAATACCGAATATGTGATATACCCAAAAAATTGATAACGCAGTGTAGATTTGTGTAAAGGTCGCACACACGTACACAAAAGCCTGCATCGATCCATTAGAATGTCCATAAATCCAAAGACTCCCACTGCCCTCTGGATTCCGTAATGCATCAAAAGTGGGAATCAAAACAAAATGAAGACTATAATCGTTGATACTTTAGATAATCAAGAATATTTTAAAAACAGATTTAAAAAAAAATGCAGTTTTTTCAAAGGGATCAATAGTGATTTCCAATTACTCCTGGCGTGAACCCGTGAATAATATATAATTTAGATATTAATATTACAATAAACTAATAAATAACATCCTCATTAGAAAAACTATGGAACATGTGTCAAAACTTAAAAGTTTTTTTTTCTTTCCGGAAATACATAATCGAATGGTAATTAATACAAGGGTTAGGAAGAAATTATTTGGGCTGAACATGATTGTTCTTACTCCCTAATTTTGATTTCCTTCCTCATTCTTTGGCAAGGAAATCCGTGACGATCCGATGAGCCCTGACAGCTACATATTATCCATGGGATTTCCACATCTCCACTACTTTCCACATATGGAAACCTTGTTTTACAAAAATTCAAACTAGGTTTAAACCTCAATATCTTGATTTTCACCGTTCAAGAAAATCACCATTTTTGTTACCAGAATTCATATATCTTGCATTTTGGATCATACTTGATGAACACACCATAAAGAAAATAATAATAATGAAACTAAAATTGGAGTACTAGTAGATAGTAAAAAGAAGAGAACAAAAGAAAAAAAATATCACAGCCGTAAAGACAAGTCAATTTGGCTGTAGTCTTCTTGAACAATTTCTGGCTTATATCCTCCTTTATTCCAACAATGATGGCTTTCCATCCTCAAATCATCATAATCCATCTGATCCTTTCTCCCATAGCTCATTTCGCTCATAAATAGTCCATATCCATGATGATGATGTTGATCAAGCCCGATGTTTGACTGTTGACCATGACTAGAAATCGACCCGGATGATCGATGATTAGAACCCGAGTGAGGCCGGACAGCCGAGCTGAGTTCTCGGCTTTTCTTTGCTAAAGTTCTCTCGAGTTTGTGGGCGTTTTGGTGACCTCCTAAAGCTTGTGAGCTATAGAATTTCCTCCGACAATAGTTGCACGAGAAAACCCGCGGTTCGGACGGAGTTAATGGAAGAGAAGATGAAGATGATCGGTCTAGTATTAGCTCTAGGTTGAGCTCATTGTTGCGCAGGCTTAGATTAAGGGCTGTGTTAGGCTCGTAACTCATGTCTAACTAGATGAAACTTTATTGCTAACCTTACGGGATTAAGAGTTTTTGTTTGATTTAGCCAAAAACAAAAAGTGAAAGAAATTGAAGAGGGTTGGATCGAAATGGTGATTTAGTTCATGCAAATGATATTTGGAAGTAGAGAGATAGATAAGTACTTGAGATAAAAATTGATGATGATGAAGAAAAGAAGTAGGTAAGTGATATTGCCTGTTGCGAGGAGGAGGTTATATATAGAGAAAGGTCAAGTGCGTGTGTGCGTGAGAGAGAAAGGAGAGAGAAAGAAGTGAAGAGATGTACGTACGTTTAATTAGCAAATGTGACGAAAAATCAATCAAAGTTTCTCCGATCGATCTGCCAATTGAAGAGAAAGAAGAGAACCAAGTAAACCTCAAGATTATGAGATGAGATTGAGATGGGATTATTGGACAAGGTGTGAAGTGGGGAGAAAGGGGAGAAGTAGTTATCAAGTACTACTATTGAGTGGGTAAATCAATTACATATGTCATGTAGTAGTACTATTTTGATTGCCATGAATAATATTTTATGAGGTGCTAAGGTTTTATTGTCTCTCCAGCCACACAAAATTATAAATAATTACGAGAGTTATCATAATAATAAACTTCAGAAGTAGCTGAAGAGAGAGAGAGAGAGAGAGGGACAAATACCTGCAAATATCTATGAGGGAATCAAAGGGTTGTCTCCTCCATTAATGGCAGCATTCGACTCACACCTTGTCGGTCACAAAATTTCCTAGCAATTTCTGAAAATATTTTCCTAAGTAAATGAGAGAAGAAAAATGATGAATTGAGGTAAAAAAAACGTTTAATCGTTAATGTATTGAGTTAGTGAAGTTATTTTTCTTTTCTCAAAGAGTCCTGTTTTTCAAATGGACATATTTGGCTTGAATATTGATTAATCTAAACAATGATTACAGATATCATGCACCCAATATATTATAAAAAAAATATTTATAAATTGAAGCAGTACTTTATCATTAATTTACAAATTCACAGTTAATTTCCTCTAGTGTAAAAAGGAATCGATCCATATAATTTTGGCCATCTAATCATAGGTCCAATCATGGCGCTTTGTGTTTTTGGCTGGATTGTCACCCCTTTATTATAACGTACCTAGGACAAAGAAGACTTGAGAGATGTTTGGGTTGATAATTCCAATTAAAGTACAAGAAAGTTATTAAGATAAGCTATCTTGACTAGACCAATTTGCGCAATTGAATAATGGAGGTTTTTTTTTTGTTCGCGTATTTGTCCCCAAGTCAGTTCTGGTTGCACCGAAACACACCACCATTAGTACGTAGTTTGTTTATTTTACTAGTACACTCCATCTTCTTCAATTGTTGTGCCTGTTTGCTTGTCCACAACCTGATGATGATTCTTGTTTTATCTTTGTCCTTGTGAATTCCACAAGTTTGTTCTTGTGATGTTCAATCTTTGCATCTTAAAGCGTTATTAATGTAGTTAATCACTTATTCGCTTTGACTAAGACTAATGAGTTTCACTGTCTCTGACTGATCTCAATCATCGGTTTGATGAAAACAAATTTTTAATGTTTAAGATCTGTTCTGACATGATTCCTGCAGAGTTAATTTTCATTGACTGGTAAACATTTCATTTTCTTGAGAATATTCTATTTTCTTTACTGTAATAATTAGTGAGACGACGATGAAGTTTTGATTCACAATTAAGGGTACAAAAACTCTAGATGAAATAGACCTTTACTGTAAAGTTATTTCATCGAAAGATTCCAACGAATAGTAATATTGCTCATGTGATAAATTTTAATTAATAGCAACTTAATTAGTATCTAGATTTGTAGTATATCCTTTTCTCTTTCTTCTTGATCAAAAAAATTCTCCATCGATCTGCCATGAGATATGAGTGTAACTTTTTTCCATTTGAGTCGTGTGAATCATGGTCGTCCGGAACCGTTTTTAGGATCATGGATTATCAAAAGTTTAAAGCAATTATATGCTAGTAAAGAATGATACTTTTAGTTCATCTCGATTAACTTATTAAAACAACGAAATCTTCTCTGTATGTATTAATTATTTTAGACTTTTACCTCATTATACCCCAACAAAAAATGATACTTTTAGTGTAAAGATGGTACAGTAAAAAATGCAGCTTGTGTGCGATTAAGTGATTAGGAATTGGATTTTCTTTAACGTAGGTCTCTACTTTGACTAGTGTGTGAGTTGATAATTATTGGGTTACAATCTTAATTCTGTCTCCTGAATAACTGTATACACTCAAATCATATATAGATTAGTTTCGGTGTACTCTGTGTATCATGACACCTTAGAATTTCTTATACCCAAAATATAGTGAGACGATTATTTAATGCATCTCTTAAAATGTGACATAATAAATTAATTACCTTTTTTTACATCCATACCGTTTTATAAAATGTATTCTAGGTGACGTAGCGAAAGTCCTATCAATCGAAACAAATACCCGAGCGAACAAACAAATCCCTGATCGCCTCCAATAAATGATACAGCGACTAACGATTTTCTCGATTTAATTAATTGTTCAACCCGAACAACTAATAATAACCAAGGCTTCTAATTCTTCCTCCAACCAATGGTACATAAAAACTTTCCTTTGAGAGAAACTCTCGTTTTTGTATTAATCAAAATCAACTGCCGAAGAAAACATCAAAGTTTGGATTTTAAAGTATTGTAATACTTAATATATTTCCAATAATGTCCTTATTTAGGGTTTGTTATTGTCTATATATAGTCTGTATATTGTACATAACCACATATGAATGAAATACAATTCCCCTATTCTAACTTAAAGAAAGCGTCAAAACCCTTAAAAGTACAAAGTTCAAAAATACCCTCCAAATAATAAAATGCATGAAAATAAATAAATATAAGGAAACCCTAAATAATCACCGCATCATTCTCCCCTGGATGAGAATAATTCGAGCTCGAATTGAAGGAGGAGAATTGTCACCAAGATAAGGAGTCAAGTGCTTGGGAAGATGACTAGGCAATCTCAGGCGGTAAGCATTCGGATTGATCTGCTCAAGAACTTTCAAAGGACCAATCTTCTTGGCAGACAAATTATTGTAAGCACCTAGAGAAAAATGGTCTTTCGTCAAAACAGCCCAAACAAGATCACCCATCTCGAACTCAACAGAACAACGACGAACATCTGCCAAGGACTTGTAGCGTGCGGCCGCTCGAATGAGATTATCATGAACCTCCTTATGCGTCATCCGAAGACCAGCAACAAAATCAGTAGCAGTACTATGAAGGCGAGTCTGAATCGGCAAAGGGAGGAGATCCACTGGAGCCCAGGGCAACACAGAATAAACCACCTGAAAAGGGCTAAAGCCCGTACTGCGATTGAGAGCATGATTATGAGCAAACTCTGCCTGGCACAACTTCTGGTCCCAAGTGCGAACATGCTCACCCACCAAACAACGGAGCAAGTTGCCTAAAGAGCGATTAACAACCTCAGTCTTGCCATCTGTCTGAGGATGGTAAGCACTACTAAAATTCAACTGAGTATGAACCAGCTTCCATAAACTGCGCCAAAAATGACTGAGAAAGCGCGTGTCTTGATCGGAAACAATAGAAGAAGGTAACCCATGTAAACGATAGATCTCGCGAAAGAAAAGGTTGGCAACACGAACGGCATCCGCAGTCTTCTTACAAGGGACAAAATGAATCATTTTTGAGAAACGGTCCACCACAACATAAATAGAATCATTGTCGCGCTGAGTATGAGGTAACCCTAGGACAAAGTCCACACTAAGGTCAGCCCAAGGCTGCGTAGGAACAGGCAATGGCATGTATAATCCAGCATTAGTAGCAGAACACTTAGACACCTGGCAAAAACGACAACGCTGGACAAACCGCTCCACCTCCTTACGAACTGTCGGCCAATAATAGAAAGAAAGAACTAGATGGAGAGTGCGATCACGGCCCACATGACCTTCCCATGCAGTTCCTGAATGAGCTGAAGGCGCAAACTGCAATCCGGAATGCAGAGTTGGTTACCCTGAAAGAGGAAGCCATCCTGCAAATGAAAATCGAAAGGAGCACCGGTGCGCATCCGGGCAACAATAGGTGCAAAATAAGGATCAGAAGCCAGTAAATCAGCAAAGGAATCAAACCCGGGAAGAGCAACACGAATAGAAGTCAACAAGGATGTTCGCTGGCTCAGTGTATCTGTCATACGATTAGTGACCCCCGACGTGTGTTTCACTACAAAGGTGAAACGTTGCAAGTATGCCACCCATGACGCATGGCGAGCGGAGACTTTGTCTTGTCCATGGAGGTGCTTCAAGGCCTCATGATCAGTGAACAACACAAATTCCTGCTGAAATAGATAATGATGCCAATGCTTAATGGCCTGAACAATAGCGTAGAACTCAACATTATAGGTGTTGTAGCGCATTTTAGGTCCTGTCAATTTCTCGCTAAAGTAGACGATCGGTCGACCTGCCTGACTAAGAACGGCCCCATTACCCACTTTGGATGCATCAGCATGCAGCTCGAACGGAATAGTAAAGTTGGGCAACACCAGAAGTGGAGCTAAGGTCAGACGGACCTTGATCTGCTGGAAGGCATCTTCGGCCGCTGTCGTCCAAGCAAAGGGTTTGACTCGAATACAGTCAGTGGGGGGTGCCATAATGCTACTGAAATGGGGAATGAAACGCCGATAAAACAAAGCGAGGCCATGGAAACTACGAAATTCTGTCAAGGACGAGGGTGTAGGCCAGTCCCGAATGGCAGCAATCTTGGACTCATCAACACAGAGACCAGCAGCAGAGATCAAATAACCCAAAAAGAGCACCTCAGGCAAGGAAAACACACTTCTGAGAGGCAGCATAAAGTTTCTCCTGGTGCAAAACATCCAAAACGGCATGAACGTGCCCCAAATGATCATCCAATATATGGCTGTAAATTAGGATGTCATCAAAATAAACAACAACACAAGAGCCAATGAAAGGGCGGAGAACCTAGTTCATAACGCGCATGAAAGTGCTGGGAGCGTTCAACAACCCAAAAGCATAACAAGCCACTCATAAAGTCCCTCTCGTGTCTTGAACGTCGTTTTCCATTCATCACCCGGACGAATCCGGATTTGGTGATACCCGATCTTAAGATCAATCTTACTAAAGACCTTGGCACCACTGAGTTGATCAAGCAAATCGTCCAGCCGTGGAGTAGGAAAATGATAACGAACAGTGATTTTGTTGATGGCGCGACTGTCAGTACACATGCGCCAAGAGCAATCCTTTTTAGGGGTCAACAAGGCCGGTACGGCACTCGGACTAAGGCTCTCGCGAACAAAACCCTTTTGTAGTAGCTCCTCGACCTATCGTCGCAATTCCTCATGTTCAGTCGGGCTCATACGATAATGCGGCCGATTAGGCAAAGTCGTTCTAAGTCAATATGGTGCGGAATATCACGCATTGGTGGTAACCCTGGAAAGACATCACTGAATTCCTGCAATAAAGAAACAACAGCATTCGGAACACCAACAAGCTCCGGAACATCTCTTCCAACAAGGGCAAATATAATGTCATCATCACACAGAAAAGTCTGAAAGTGTTTCAAGGAAAGCATACTAACAGACAGAGCAGAAATT